GTGTTGCCTGTGACATCTCTCACATGCATACACAACTGTTCTGTTGTTTTTGCTTGTTATCATCTGTTACCAGATGATAACAAAATAACTCTGGAGGTACTGATTGTTTAATTAATTGGAGTTCTTTTTGTTGCTTTTCTAAGGTCCTGGTTTGTCGTGTCAATTGCAAGAAGCAAAAATATAATACATCTCTTATGGTCTTAATGATGTGGGCTTTTCTTTGCCACACATAATTAAAATTCATGAAGTGGTGAATTCATGGGTTAGGAGATGTTAGAAGAAGGTCCCTGTGCAGAAATGTTATATACTACAATGCAGTTAAATAAAACACAGTTAAATAAAACAGTTACTGTTGTACTTCATTTGGCCATTTAGTGATATCTTTCACTTAGAACTGCAGATTGCCGAGAACAGTCTGCTTTTAAAACAAAAACATCTCTTTTAAAACAGATTCTACACAGTTGTAATTATGGATAGGAATAATAAATTTTGTCTTTAATAAGCAATTACAAAGCTATGAAAGTCTAATCCTTAACCTACAGTGATAACGTTTGTTAAAAATGTACTATATACTCAGTGAACTGTTGTGATTTTCCCAAACCTGAAAATATGTTCCCCAAAATAATAAAAAAAATTAGGAACATCAAATACTACAAAAATCAGTGAGTCTTGCTTATGTTCTTAAAACATGTGTTTACTGTTTGGTTGTGATACATTTAGCATTGTGGCAGATGATGTGGTTAACGATGATGAACCAGACAGAAATTAGTCATCAGCAGTTGAAGGAAACATGATAAACTTTCTCTTCACTGCAGATGTGGGGTAGAAAATGGTCCATTCACCTTCTGAATGGTCATCTGCTTGATGTGACTGGTTTCTAAGTTTCACAAGTTTCCAGGACAGAGATGCCTCCGTAGAGTAATTTCTATTTCTCACACCAAAGCTGCAGGATCTGCTCTAAACCTCAGATGATTTGTTGGTCATGCTGAGACCAGAGGAGAACCAGCCACCATGGACTTGTACCTCAACAGAGACTTCCCAGTGAGTCCCACCCCTGAACCCTGCAGAGTACACATCTGTCACCGCAGGCACCTACTTGGCTAGGGAATTTCTGTGCTGGTAACTACATAACAGAACAGAAAAGATGCTCTGTGCCACAAAAGCATTATGCTTAAAGCATTGAGGGTTATATAGCTTTGAAAATAGCAAGAGATGGGACGCTAATCTTTCTAATATTATCTCTCATTTTCTGAGTGCCTAGGTGGTGCCTCACCTCCACATCCCTCCAACACGTGGCAAATGTGAGCCCTTCTAGCTCAGGGTAGAGATGTACGTATAAGCAGGTCTCTTATGCTTCTTACATGCTCCTCTGGAAAGCTCCATTTCCTGCCCCTTTTCCAGGGGGGGGGAAATTATTCCAGAGGAATTAGAGTAATTTGAAGTAGCTGATGGATCTCAGCTGCTCTTAAAAGAAGTATTTCTGTTTCCACTAGCTTTTTTTGAGCTGGATAGTCACCTGGAAGGCACTGTGGTAGGCTGCCTTTAGGTGAACTTAGGCATTTATCAAATAAAACAGATGTATTTTAGTGTCATTTAAGTTTTTATTCTGAAGGCAAAGGAGTAAACAAATCAAGTCTTATTTTGGCGTGTTTATTTTAGCTAATCAAAACTTCAGACCATCTAGATGTTTAATGTCAAAAAGCCCCAGTTCTGTGTTATAGTAGGAGAGGGAATAAAGCTGATAATTTGGTGGATTATATTAAAATGCTGCTAGGACAGCTGGATATCTTGTTGCAGCCCAGGGCAGAGCCTGGCTTGCTGCTGCTGTTTGATGTTTTGTGTACGTGTGGTGTGGTGGGAGATGTGATGCTACTACTGGAGGCAGCCTGCCCCAGCAGCAGCCTTTCCCTGCTATTCCTTATTTCTCCCCTGGCTGGTGCAGGAAGAGCCTGGGTCAGCAATCCCCTTCCCCTTCCCAGAAGCAGTGGATGTCCTGGGAGGTTTCACACCTTCCCTCACCATCCCTCCCCCCCCCCCCCTTTTTTTTTCCCCAGCGGATACTGGGCTGAGGTTCAGCTGGTCCTTCAGGCATCCTAAGAGAGGAAAATATGGAGCACCCCAGAGAATTCAGGAAATAGGATGTGTATGACAGTCGAAGGAGTTGTGCAATTCAGGTGTATGGCAGCCTGTGTTAGCAGACCTCTGAATTTTACGGTAAAAGGAATTGCACAAGCAGTTCACAGTACATTACGTACCCCACAACATGCACCAAAGCAATCTGGTATCTCCATCAGCCACTGAAAAGTGGTTCTTGGACACTAGCTACTGTTAGTTCAACACTGAGACTGAAGTTAGATCTGTGCTATTGCTCCTAGAAGAGTCTAATGTTCTCTCCCCCCTCCCCCCCCCCCCCTTTTTATTTCCCTTCAACTTTCTTCTTCTGTGTCCTTAACTGAAGTTTTCACTTATGAATACTTGCCAGAGCCAAAAGGCTGTCAGGTGTGAGGCATGATGCTAGTGAAGACATTTTGCTGTGGCAGAGTAGCATGGTTAAGAATTTTAAAGAAATAATAGTGCATCTTCCTTGTAGGGGAAAACAAGAACAAGCCACACACAAACACGACAATAGACAAGATCTGTGCCTGGAAATAGCTTTTATCTTCCCATGGAGCTCTCTCTCAATTCTTTCTGAAGAGTAATAGATTTAAATTGATCCAGGAGAACTTTGCTAATGATATAATCAAACTTGCATCTGTACTCTGCATTTCTCAGCTGAACTAATTTGAATGCTAAATAGGAATCAAAGAAGTGACCATTATGCATAAGAAAGAATGAGTAGTTTTAATCTTACTTGCACTGCATGTTTTTTGAGCTATTGATGTAACTGATCAACAGTCTATATTTGATTCAGAGCAAAATGCCAGATTTTATGACACATGTCACAAGTCAGATTCTTTGGCTGTAATTTCTAACCCCAGTTTTAAATACTGTCAGCATCATCTGGAATTAAAAAAAAAAAAAGAGCAACTCATCACCATGCCAATTGAACAAAAAAATGCCGTATGATTTAAATACCTATAGCTTCATCATTTACCCAGTTTCATGCTTTCATTTTGCTAAGCATGAGGTTGGTGATTAAACTGGTGCATAATTATTAGCAACAGAGAGACTGTTGTCACATCTCACAGTTTTCTGACCAGGTGCAGGCTTCTCAGATTCAGTCGGAGCCTGTCTGTCAGTTTTCTGAACAATCCAGCAAAATAAGTGACTGATTTCCTGTTATCATCACAGAGGCAGTTTTCAGCAGATTGTCACAGTAAACCTCCTTTTCTGAATAGTGTAATGAGCATTCTGGTGTTTGCAAAAGCAGTTTTTTATATATAGACGTGTATAAAGTGTGAATGAAAAAAACATTAAAAATCTGATCCCAGTCTCTCTCTCTCTAGCTCCTTATCCTGTCGTTCATATCCATCTATTTCACTCTAATGTCAAAGTCAATCAAACACTTGTGGTAATGCAAACAGAACAGGAGCAGGGGCTGCTAAATTAATCCGATGCGATGAGGACTTTAAAACATTAAATTTCTTTGCTCTGCTTCTCCAGCTCACTTTCATGTTTAGATGGCTGTTTTACCAAGCGTGCGCCCAAATCTTGACTTTATTCAGGACGATGTGGGCTGTGCGTTGAAAGAGCAACAACTTCTTGCATCAGTTCCCTGCAAGGACAGGCTCATTCTGGATTTTAAGTGTCTCTGTGCAGCCTGAACCTCATCTCCCTGCTGGTGGTGGCTGAGGCATCACTCACTGACTGAGCAGGTAGATGCAGAGCAGAAAGAGAACCGGATGATGCCTTCTGTTCCTCCTGACTTTGGGCTTAAGCTCAAGTCTCTTCTGAGTACATCTATCTTCTGTGTTTTGTACTGGCCAGCTGGTTAGCTTGGACAAACTATTTTTAGAGGACAAGACTCCGTTTTTTTTTTGTTTTTTTTTTTTTTTTTTTTTTTAGTGTTGCCTCACTTTTGTCACTTTCTCAGCATAATTTTCTACCTAGTTTTGCTGGATCAATCTAAATAGATGTATAGAATAAGTATCCAATCTAAAAATAAAGGCTGTTTGGTGGGAAGAGAAACATTTTGTCAGTGTACTTTTAGTGTTATTCTGCAGGATAAAAAGTACCATGCTGGAGAAAACAACCCATAAACTGTGCTTTCCACTTTCACTATATTGCACTATAAATTCGTTAGTGGAATTGACATTTCTACCTCTCCTTGAAACTATTTGTCTGCTGCACCAGTATTGGAGCTGAACTGGTGCTGAGGCTTTCAAGCGCATCCTATTTGCCTGTGCAATAGAAACAACTAACCAGAAACTCATACACAATAATTACACACTAACAAGCCTGTTTACTCTTCATCATCTTTCAAAATCTGGCTATTACCTGTTATTCACAATTTTATAAACACAACAGTAAATAACTCTGAGTGTTTTAAAAATAGGTCATAAAAGCAGGCTGATTTCACTTAATGCATATATATACAGCTGTATTGCAGTGTGCGCTGCCGTCTCCATCACTGGAGGGAAGCACAGCCCTGACAAATATGACTAAGACCTTACACAAGAGTCAGGTTCTCCAGGTGTTGAGGGAGAACATGTTTGGACTGAAAACGAAAGACTGAGATGTAAAGACAACTTGATAAAAGGGGAGGAAAAAGTTAAAAATTACATTTTAATGAAATGGATTAATCTTTTATTACCAATGGCAGATTCTAATGGAGATAATTTTAAAACCCAAATTTATGGTTTGTCGTTACTTTTTCCTTGAATAACAGCACCACATTGTTAATTTTGAAGTACTGTGTTAACAGAACAATGTTTTAACAGCCAGTAGTACCACTGGAAGTGAATATTTGCATTTAAACAAAGCTTCCTTCCCTGGTAAGAACAGGAAAAGTTTTAAGTAAGAGTGGGCTTGCAAAGCCATAGCCATCATGGCTATGAACCCCATAGCCATTGTAAAGCCCCAAGTGCCTTTGCAAGCCCAAACCCGAATCGGCCACCAGAGCAGAACTTGCACCTGGAACTGCCGCTCAGGAATGTGTTGTGTGTAGGAATCACCATTTAAAAAGAAATGGCTTTGGCACCTTGTTAAGGGAAATATGTATCAGCTACAATTTCTGCTTCAACTCATCCGTAATGAAAAGATGAAAGGGCAGGCTAGGCTGGGAGCAGGGAGAGCTGCATACCTTCTGATGTTCTCCTAAATACTCATGTTTATAGTGCTTCACAGTTTTTCATGCAGCATCCTTTTGAAGTGGAAAAGAGTCACGGCTCTCATTTTACCAATGGGAATCTGAAAACAGGGAAGCTAAACTCTTCTGGTTTGGATCAAGCACCTCACTTATGGACACAGAGGAAGTTTCTGGTGAAATGGGCAGGGAAGACCAGCTATCCTAAACCCTGGGCTAATACTCAGGTAACGGGCCCATCCTGTCTCTGGGAAACTGTTGATTCTAGCCCTGGGCTCTAATACATTCTTATTACAGCCCATAATTTCTACCACTAACACAATGACTTCTCCTGGTCTACACTGAGAACATTTAAAAAGCCCTGGCAGATGTTGCCCTGGTATAAGATGCCCTGCTCATAGATGGCTAATCCTCAACATACCTCAAAAAAAGGTGAAGGGGAGAGAAGATTTAAATTATTAGGACAAAAATCCAGGAGGTCCTGTTGTATTAAATTCTTCTTGAAGTGGGAAGACGGCAACCTCAAGTCTGACTTTAGCCAAAATTAACCTTATTTTCTTTTGGTCAGAGAAAGCTTCTGGGAAATTCAGAGCAGTGACTGCCCTTTTAAAGGGCATCTCTCCTTTTACTTGCTCTGGTCAGGGGTTAGAGAGACCAGCTGTTAGGAAGCCCAGGTGCTGATGATCTTCCTCCACAGGAGGCTGAAATCCAGACTTCCCAGTACTTCCTAACCCAGTGGGAAGCCAAACTCACTCACAGACTCTTTGTTTGTCCAGCAAGGTCCTGTGATCTGGGGCCCTAGGTGCTACCCTGTTCTCCTGGATACCCAAGCTCCTTTGTTGTGCTGGCTGAGGCAGGGACCTGATTAAATCCTAACTCCCTTAGGGTCATATGCATGTGCCATAGCATGGTCACCTCAAAAGGTGCAGCTACTGTCACCACCTGCCTTTGGCATTAAAGAGTGCTCATCTGCAAAAGGCAGAGCTATTCTGGCCTTGCAGCTGCTTGGGCTGGTGGCAACACCTTGACCCACCAGCAGTTCAGGTAAGAAGCTCACAGGATCACCATGTTTCTCTCTCCTACTGATACTGGGCAGCTAGGCAGAAGACTTCTGGTTGGCACACATGGGAGCCCGACTCTGCCCTAGCAGGTAGTAGAGCACAGAGGTGGATGGGTAAGTCTGGTCCTTTTCTATTTTATCCAGTAATGGACTAATGTGAAAAGTATTCTTTTCTGGGGGCTGAATTTGGACCTCCAATTCTGTACCCATGAATGTGGGAGTCTGGTCATCTTATTGCCTGGCTCTATGGTGTTTAAATTCTGGATGCACAGTGGTCCAACCTCAATGGAGGGGTTATAAATGCCCCTCTCCATTCCTTCTAGAGTGCCTGGGAGCCTAATTAGGTCATGCACTGAGAATGTGGGAAATGTATCTGAACAGAATCTTCCATTCCTTGACAGATGCTCTACTGGGACACTGTTACTGCTACATAAAAAGAGCTGACCATCTGCACTAGTGTCTTTCTGCAGAAGACTCAGTTTGGATGCTAAGTGGAAGCAGGTATTTAATTTCTGCAATTTTTCTCTATAAGGTCAGTGGAGAGAGGTGAACTTTTCATTTACATAGCTGTGACTACTCGCAGATGTGTCTACTTTTTGCCATGGAGCACATAGGGAAGCTGTGACCTATGTAGACCACTGTATGGCTGTGACAAGGCTCCTGCAGTGCAGAATCCACTGAGTTGAGTCTATGTGGCTGAGTTAGGTGTCTAAAAACATTAAGATGGATGTGATACATCTTTCCTTTCCCTCTTGTGTTACATAGCTCCCTCTGGGATGTAAATGGGAGAGATGGCATCAGCCTGTGGCTGTGTGTAACCTTATTGTGTAGGTATCCACAGTCAAAATACTTTGGTGTCTCTTCTTCAACTGAGAAGCCAGTTCAGATTTCTGATTCTCCTGTCTTCAGGGGTCCATAATTAGCAAGCGTGCTGGTGTCCTGACTTGGAACACAGACATTGATTGTCAGCCTAGCACCTTGCCACAAATGCAAGAGGGGAAGCCTTCACCCAGGTGTTCCCTGACTTCTGATTGCTGAACAACCTCATTGTCCTGGTACAGTAACATTTTCCTTCCAAGGGATACTTGGTACCTTTTTTTAGAAAATGTGTAAATATTTTAAACCAAGTGTTGAGAAAGCATAACAAACACTGGAGAAAAGTGATTGACTTAACACTAAAACTATTATTTTTATTCCAAAATTAGCATTATAAACAGAATGTTTCAGTCACTTCTTGGTCACAAATTGCCTTCCTCATCATCATTTCTATTCTGCTTATTCTTTGCTCTTAAGAGAGGAAAGCAGAGAAAGTTGGGTAGAAAGAGGGAAAGAGGAGGTTTGCAGTTGACTTGAACTGTTTTAAAGGATGTTTTCCCCTGCTTGTCCTCTTTTGGAAAGACATCAAACACAGACAATCTCACTTACATTTAATGACTTATGCCAAAATACTGGGGTAGTTGTACCTGAAAGGGGAGGGGTTGACTTCACACACTTTTGCGGGCAGACATGCCTGCTCCACACCAGAATCCATGTCTGACCTACCTTGCTCAACACCAAGTTTTAAAGAGATTATGAAAGCAATGCTTACTTTAGTATATTTCAATTTTTCAACTTTTTTCCCCCTTTTCTAGTGCTATCTTTTTGAGATGTAGGGTGATACTCACAGGTTTTATTAGGGGTGTGTTATGGTCTTACTTTAGGCCAAAAAATAAATAAATGACTTTTTCTAAACAAAAAGGCAGGTGATAATTTTTCTAAAAGACACCATCAAACAATCAAGAAATTCAGTTCAGTTTTTATCTCTTAATGCCAGAAAGCAGGCGAGGTTCCATTTGGGTCAACTGTATGAGCTCCCTGACTGGCACAACAAACAGAAATATTCAATGGATTTGCAATTTACCCTAGAAACTGACTGGTCTGATTGAAAATAATGATGTCTGACTGTGCAGGGTCAGTGAGTTGCCCTTTGTTAATGCACAGCTAACCAAGATCTACCATGCACAGAGGCTGGAAAACCAATTAGCTATTCTAAGAAGCACCGGCAGATAAAATGTCCCAATTAATCACACAAAATATGCGTATTCCCTTCGTTCTCTAACGCCTGTTTGAAAATGATCACTAATAGTTCTGAATGAACTCATTTAGCTGCTGAATATCCCAGCAGGGCTTTTTTTCCTTTTTGTTCTTTTTTTTTTTTTTTTTTTAGTCAGATGTAATTTGAATATCATTTTATATATAAATCCTTAGACAAGAACATAGCTGTGCATATGAACTCATGTCAAATATATTTGTACATATAAAATGTGTGTGCGTAAGCAATAAATGTGGATTGTTTACTCTGGTGTATATCGTAAAAAAAAACACATGAAGATTATTAAATCAGAATGGCTACATTATGCTAATTTATTATTTATTATCAGACTACTAGAACATTTTACTACTGAATATACCATTTTGCAGACATACTAGTATGCTAATGCACTAGTGTTTAAATAATTTCAACAATAGGGTTTCATCCAGAATACTTGTTCTGCTAAAATCATACTTGTAAGAATTCAATTACTCTTTCAGTGAATGGATAGTGAAGAATGTAGAATATTTTATTTTTCTTCACAGAATCAATAGAAAGTGCAAGGGAAGTATTTCCTTAAAATCTACAGTGAAATTATGCTCAGTGTTTGGGAAAGCATGATTATGCAGCTAAAGGTGAGAGAGATTAAGAAGGATATGTAGACAAGAGGCTGAAAACCTTTAAAAAGTGATAGCTCAGGAAGATGCATATATGTGCTTGCTGTCAGCCTTGGACCAGAAACCTGGTCTGGGCTGTAGGGTTTGGCTCCCCAGCCACTCGTTTGCAGTCCAAATAAGCAGATAGGGAACAGGTAAGACCGGTGCAGAAAGCTCCCAATGGAAACACGTTGATTAAGACCAAACTCCTGTGGTTTATTCCCTAGTCTTGTGCTTAGGATTTGGCCATTCATCCGTTTGCCTGTGGATGCTGCTGCCCTGTTTCTCTCCTTTATTAGGGCTGGACCTGGAGGCACACTGGGCAACCACCCAGCAAACAGCTCATGAACACTCACTGAAATATGTTCTGGTATCATTATAGCCAAACACATCTGTCCTGCAGATACTGTTGAGTAACAGAAAGAGTTTGCTGTTAGCAGGCTGCCAGTTTCAACCCTGGACCCTAAATGGTGTCATTAAGGACTTGATTAAAAGAGTAATGTTCAGTCCAGGGAAGAGAGAATGTGGGGAGCCTGTGGTGTCTGCCATAGCCTCTCAGAGAGAACATGAAGAACCTTTAGGCCAGGACTGGGAGTGAGCAGTCCTAAACCCACCTCCACTCTGCTCTTGCCGGATGCCTAAGTCTGTCAGGAAATATTAAGGATACTTTGGGGGGTGGGAGCTAGCATCTAAAGGTACGAGTGTAAATCGGTTCCTGCAGCACCAGGACCACCCATAGCCTTGTTTTCATCCATATTGCAGGCAGATGGCAGGATGCAGTCACTCATGTGCCCTACATCTTCATGAAGTGTCACAGAACTTTGTTTGGATAAACAGTGCTATAATGTAAACAGCTCTCTGCCCTGGAAGCCTTTCTGCCTCTGTTTTGCAAGCATAGCTGTTTTTCAAGCTATTGCTTAACCATGTGGGTGTCTGAACTCTGAGGAGGAAAAAAAATATCAGAGAATTTGAGCAGGTGCACATATGCCTCTATGCTTGGCAATGGCTTTAAGACATTAATGAAGTGATCCTTGTTTTTGGTTCAATGAAAACCCATTCTTCGTATTTTTGCTATATAAAACAATGTACAACATGAGAGAAAATGTATTCAAGTACTCCTCACTCTACCTTAACATGAAATTGCTTAGTGTTATCTCTAATAAACCTAGAAATGAAGAAGGAAAGTACAGATTGCTCTGTGCAAGGTCTATTTTTTTGTGTGTGTGCATTATATTAACCATGTCTGCCCAATTTTGTGATAATAAGGCAAATAAGGAAAAAGCCTCAGCTGAAAACCCCAGGATATAATCAGCAATTGCAAATGGGTAGTGCTTCATTGTAGATGGTTTTTACAGTCATTATGGATGGTAAGAGTCTTGTTTAAATATTTGAATATAATTTCCCAGAATCAGTTAGGTACCTCATTGTAATGACTACTGATGGGGTTGTCCATACACTCACCACTGTGTTTTTTGAGAATTTTCTGAAATCTGTAACGTTAGCTTATCATCTGTCTCAGTGTCAGGCGGCCTTCAGCCATGGGTAGATAATGAAGCCCCAGGATGGCAGCAGCATAGGAGAGCTCAGTAGGGCTATAGGAGCAGTGAATTCTTCCATGGGGAGACCCCAGCTTTACCTACAGCTCCTCAGTCTTTCACTTAGCAAGAGGCCTTAAATTATGCAAATTATTCAGCGACTCCCTTCCACAAATGGGAGGGAGAAGGTTTGACTAACCCATGTTGATCAGAGGAAATTTGTGTGCTGCAAAAAGAGAGGAAAGAAAGTCCCCTACTTGTTTCACATTCATATTTTCAAAGACTTAACAGACCATAGAGAAGTTTATATATACTTTTAGTGTAGAAAAGGATTAATAAAGAAACTATGCAAAGTTTGAATAGAAAAGACTTGTGACTAAGGACTGTGTATGATCTAAGAAAAGAACCTAGTACACAGAGCCACATCAATCCTCAGGATCTCAGAGCATTAACACACTTGTCCAGATTACAAAGGAGCTGAACCTCTGGTAACTATGAACTCTGGTAACTTTGAATTACCAGATAACGCTGTGGAAATTGATCGCTCCCTTAAATATCATAGCCTTTCTCATCCCTGCCTCAAGCATTTAAGAGACAGTACTATTAGTCAAAAGATAATTATTCGTTAATTGATTTTGTAAAATTCTCAGCCAGAAGGTAATTTATATACTTGATTGGACTAGGAAAAAAAAAAAAAAAGGAAGAAAAAAAGCAGTTTCTTTATACCAAATGCATACATACTAAAGAAAAAAAAAAAGTTTAACTAATTTCTTTTTCATCAAGGATAAAGAGTAAAGTTGTCAAGAATGATCCTAAAAAGTCTAAAGAATGAGCTTGTGCACCAGAGGGAATCATGGTGCTTTCATGCACCCAGCAGAAATTTTACACTGTGTTAAAGAGTGCACACTCATGTAAAGTGTAAGTCCAGAAGTCTAGATAGATTTAACATGACTAAAATTGACTTTGACCTTATATGATTGATAAAGACTAATTCATTTTTCCCTAAATTCTCTTGACGTCTTTGCATCCTGACTGTATTTTTGCTTGCATCTAAGCATTTGCAACACCTTTCATCCCAGACTGAAGCTGGAAAAAGTCATGTGCCATGGTGCTATATGCTTCTAGGCTGGAGGACACCTGTAGCTAACCTAATTCTCTGTATGTTTCTGGAGTCTGGTGCTGTTATGGAAATGCCCTTCTGGCGGGTATCCACCACCTACTTGTGAATCGCATTATTCC